CAGAACATTAATAAGAGTAATCAATGTAATAAACACCTATAAAAAATAAACTATAAACTTAGAAGAATCATTGCAGAAGTTCTGCTGCTACCATAAATGACGGTCAGACAGGCGGACATCAAATGAACAGCAGAATATGAGCATAATTGAACAAATCTGACACAGGCGGCAGAATCCTATTAGATAAACTATTGAGACAGAGGCGGGGTTTGGAATACTGTGTAATCACCTTCCCATTGACTGCACTAAGCATAATCCTGGCACACTTATCACCTCCCCACGATTTTTTAAAATTTCTATAATCCCACATACAGATTTCCGAGATGCCTTCCCTGGAAGATCAGAATATCTCCAGTGAATTCACCATGGTAAGTTTGTAAGACTTTCGTCACATTCCCCAGTGGGCATCAAGTCGAGATCCCCCAGACAACCTCAGCTGCTAATGACACTAATAGGCTTTCAAAGAAATAGCTAAGTGCGAGCATCGTACACATCACGCAGTTCTGCGGACACACAACTGATCGTTATTCAACCAGAGGCGAGGAAGCAGCGCTGGCCCTAGAGAAGCACCTGAGTAAACTCGAAACTAGAATTGACGAACTTTTTCGCCAATGCGATAGTGGCAAGGCCGGGTCCTCCAGCAACACTGACCTTAGCCAGATGGAGACGCATCCGCAGCCGGCAGTTGGCAATCAATCCTCAAACAAACCCTCCAAATGAAATTGACCGTCCGCTGTCTTTTCCATGACCCCTTTCTCTGTTATAATTCCATCAATCAGTGTAGCTGGTGTGATATCAAATGCTGGGTTCCAAACGTTGATTCCCTCTGCAGCTATACGCACAGTCTCCAGATTTCCGCCCTTGGATGTATCGCCTTCACAGGGCCCCTTGATTTTAGTAACCTCATCGGCTGGCCGTTCTTCTATCACAATGTCGTTTCCAGATTTGGTCGACAAATCGATAGTGGTGAGTGGCGCGGCAACAAGGAACTTCACACCGTGATATCTTGCCAGGACAGCAAGTCCATACGTCCCTATTTTGTTGGCAGTATCACCATTGGCTGCGACTCTATCCGCACCGACGACGATCGCATTCACACCAGCCTTGGAATTTGCAAGTAGTGCGGCGGACATAGAGTCTGTTATCAGCGTGGAGGGAATACAATCATGGACTAGTTCGAATGCCGTGAGCCGAGAACCTTGGTTGTAAGGTCTTGTTTCAGTGCAGTACGCATGCCGTAGACTATTCATTGATGCCAAGCTGCGGATGACTCCCAGGGCCGTTCCGTAACCGGATGTCGCTAGAGACCTGGATGAATGTTAGAAATTCAAATCCCGATTCTCCTCGATGGTAGACTCACCCTGTATTGCAATGAGTCAAAACAGTGGCCTCTGACTGCCCAGGAACCACCGCATTCAACATGATCCATCTAGCGCCATTTTCCCCAATCTGCTTGTTGTCTTGAACATCCTTTACCAACATCGCCTCCGAGGCTTTTATAAAGGAGGCGGCGACCCCGTGACCTGTCGCCCCAGCCTGGCTAGCACTCTGAGACACCACGAGCTCGAGCTTTCGCGCAGCATCACCTAGGTTGACAGCCGTGGGCCTGCTGCTCACCAGGTATTGCAGCTTCTCTATAATGAAAACACGAACTTCGTCTGCATCTGAAGACAGCCCCTCATTCGAAATCAGTAGGTGAAGCTCAGACGCAAGGGCGAGTGCTGCTACTATAGCGATAGCCGGCGCACCACGGACTTGCATAGTCTTGATAGCATGCCAAGCTTGTTCACTCGTCTTGATATCAATATATTGTTCCACGTAGGGAAGTTGCAATTGGTCGAGTATTGCGAGGACACCGCCTCGATATTTGATGGCTTGCAAAGTCATGTTTGCGATATCCACCTCAGAAAAGGATCAATGGACCGTCCCGTAATTTCGAAGTGCTAGAAACGCTACCAATGGAGACAGAGAAAAGACAGAGTTGTTGGCTGGACTGTATTGCTCTGATATTTAACCGGTGGGGAAATCCTTCTCATTTGTTTGGAGGCGTTGCTAGGTACAGGCGGTCTGATTTGTGGGGAGAATGTGGCAAGCGGAATTTCAAGCCTCTGAGCCGAGCACACTGGGTCATACTACTTACTACCTACTCAGGTAGGACTATCACCTGGCAGCACAACACCCTTCAAGGCTCAATTTTCTTTCTATAGAAGTTGTTTACATGTTATAGTCCTGTGTAGAAGAATAAGTAACTTAGCTCCTACCACGTCTCCACCTATTTCTAGTGACGCTTTCTATGAGATAAAGATGTGCACCAGAGACCGTGCCAGTTGATCATGTTTTGTCTCTGGCCTAAGTCTCTGAACTTGATTTGCTAATCTCCATAGGGCACTGTATCAAGGAGAGGTATGAGATTTACCCAGTCCGCACAGAACTTGCACTGGCCTTCAAGCTCGAACCCAATTCTCCATAATTCAATTCATTGCCACGGCAATGCTTTCCTTCATGGTTCCCTCTACCGCAAGGGTCGAGTAAGGCGATGGTCCATCAAAGTTTGTTGAATTGGTAAAGGCCCCGCAAATCTCCTTCGGAGGACCGAGGTGATATTAACGGTTTAATTCGTCAATCTGCGGATATGTACAGCACTACTCCATGTGGATCAGGATAAGCATGTATAACACCACTGGCTCATGGATATGATTCAAACGAACCATTATTGCCGCGGATGAAAGCATCACCATAGCTTCGTGTTAATCGGCCATTGACAAACTCTTCAGATTTCTCCAAAGCTATGTTCATGTAGCCATCTACAGACTGCAGTTCACCTAGGAGGTTATATGTCAGCTTGTAATGGTTCAAAGTTTAAGAATTCCTGTAAGTTGTTCATCTTTGCCACACCCATCCTCGCAAGCTGGGATTCCAGTTGGGATATGAGTAGGTAGTCGAACAAAGTAGCTCGGGAAGGTACCTTTATAAACAACACCGGAGTTTAATTTAATCGTCACTGGAGCACCGATTATTTCGCCAAGGAAAGCCGAGGGATCTTTCCCTTCAGAAGGTGCACCATTCTCCATCTTGACAGAATTGAGTTTGGATAAGTTGGTGATCCTAGATTCAGCAACTTTGAAGTCTGAGAGTCGGCCCCGCTGGCGGAAGTTGTTCTCGATTTGTCAGGGAACTATCTAGCCCCGGGAGCCAGCACTAGTCTCCAAGTTAAGGCACGTGCTTCCTAATCAAACGGCGGATTGTAATCCACCACCTACCACAATAGAAAGATGAAAACTCACCCCTAGGATATCACCGCTTCTCTTCTAAAGGCCATCGTGTCTACTTCAATTCCGAGGTCTTTGCGCAGTCACCCAGACTCTGCATTCATCACAAGTCTAAAATTTACGGTTGTCAATTCAGAGCCCTTTCGATGCGATCCTTCTTCAATAAGCCATCTTGGGCAAGTAGGGGAGAGGAAACTCAGGACCTCAAGTTTTATCAACATGCTGGTCAGGTGTACAATGATATAATTTCTACGAATCAGCATGCGCGACGTGCCAACCAAATTCAAGAAAATGAAACCAAACGGCGACGTACTCCCATTGAGAATCATGGTGGTGACACATTACCACTGGGGACCTGCAAACCCTCTGACGAATCTCTCAGTCATCAACTGCCATCCGATGGCAACGCTTCCAATTGCAGATCTGTACCTGGAAGCGAAGGTCAGCTCGGCCGCCAAGCTCCAGATGCTTTACCGCACGGACAAGGAGTTACAGATCCCAGTGGTATTGACCACCTGATACCTGGGTTGGCGTCAAGATCTCGGGATGAGATTGTTACTTCTGGCACATCGGCTGTAAAGAACCCTAGTGGAGGCAAGAGAAGTTGCCTTGATAACTCCCAACCCTCGAATAGGCTGAGCCCTACTAAACCCCACTTGACACCCAGCAAGAAGCTTACATCGTCCGAAGATACGATAGTCCAGATCCTCATCACCTCGAAAATCAGTAACACCAAGCCGCTCATAGTTCGCCGAAAAATCCATCAGCCACTGAAAGATGTGCGCCTCGCATGGTTAAATCGTCAAGACCTACCGAAGGGACTCGAGTCTTCTATCTTCCTGACTTGGAAAGGGAAACGCCTTTTCGATGTCACCACATGTCGCAGTCTGGGAATTGGACCCAAGGGTCGCCATGCGCATGGGCCTGTTACCTGTGATTTTTTACGAAGTGACAGCTCTGACCTGCAAATTCACATGGAAGCCGCTACTGATAATCCTCTTGATCTTGACAACGGTCGGTCATTGTCTTCCGCCAATCCAGCGCCAGGTGCAGACATGGACACCGGCGGGCGATCTTTGAAAAACATCGTTTTGAAGGCCCCGGGGCTAGATGATCTTAGATTGAGGGTGAGTCTTCAGATGCAGGTCTCGCAGCTGATTCGCCGATTCCGTGATGCAAGACAGATTTCACTGGAGCATGAGGTTTACCTTGTATTTGATGGTGAACGCTTAGACCTTGGATGTGCTCTTGAAGATTATGATCTTGCAAATGATGATCTCCTGGATGTAATAGTCAAGTGACAATTTCGGTGACCAAACACCTAATACTCTTGTGACGTTTGCACATTCCTTGTAACGGCATATAGTATAGCACGTGATGAACATACTCAAGTTCAGAGAGATTGGAGGAAAACATAGTCAAATCTAGGTGGGAGGATTCTCTTCTCCTGTATTTCATCAAGTCTACTCAGGTAAAGTTTAGGGCGAGAGATGGTCCAGCAATTCATGTATACTGTTGAGGAACAAGGTTGAAATCACAAGGAAGAAGCAAATTTCACCCACATGTACAGTATATGGAACACAGTGTAACCTATTACACAGGAAACTGATGACGTAACCTGAAAACAGCCCGTTCCGTTTTTTTCGCTCACCCAACCAACAGCTAAGCCACTGCAAGACAATCCCAGCTATACATTTGTATCGAGGAGTCGATCAACCATCCTCAACAGCAATGAAGTTACTCACTGCTAATTTTCTGACTTGTGCTGTCAAAGGCTGCAAAGCAGCCGCGTCGTCCTATCCACTGCATTTCAAGGATGCTGAACTCGAACTGCAAGAGGTCGACTTTCAGCCGGAATTCATACACAATATTATTCCACGAATTGATTGGGAAGCTCTACGCGTAATGGCCAATGAGGTAAGTGTGCAGGTACTATTCACAAGAAAAGGTTATTCAGGCCACTCATTCAATTGACTTAGCTGGGCTTCCCTAAGATCCCTGATTCGAAGCCTGAAGGCGATGCACTCAATGATGAGCAGACAATGAGAGATCTTCACAGACTCCTATTAGAGACGCATGTTGTGGAAGGGAGACTATGCTGTGGCAACTGCGGTCATGAGTATGTGATCAAGGAAGGAATTGCTAATTTCCTTCTGCCCAGCCATCTGGGTAAGACAAAAAATCCATCGTGGAAATCGGGTCTATGCTGACAGCTTTCCGCTATAGTGTAATTCTTCTTTCATGAATCTTCATGCGCTGGTGCTATGATCAGACTGTTGTTGATACCCCGTCCGTATTTGACTGAGCACTTTCCTTGCTGCTTCGCCGAAGAAAAACCCGCCCTAGCCCTTTCTTCAATAACCATGCATAGATTATGGTTGTTAACATATGCTGTCAGGGATGGCATTTGCTTGACAGCTGATAGGATTGAACAAGGCGTTAACTACATGTCAGCATAGACGCCATCATAATGGACACGGCACTACATTTTCGATAAGAGCTCTCGGCCTTAGCAATGTATCAGATTGTTCGACCCCATCATATTAAAGCTACTTTGTTGTCTATATGAAAAAGCCACTATACGGCAGCTTGGCTATGGAGTTGACCACAAAGTGCAACTGTGAGAATAGCTCGCATACCGGGTTTTAAGCTTCGATCGAGCCTACTCTTAGTTGAGAAAACCTTTGCAACCACTGGAACCGCAAAGACAAGGGATCCTGTCATCGCTGTCCCACTCCCTTTCAAACTTGTAGTCATATGTAAGCTCTTCATCTTTAATCAAAGTGTCAGCATGTCAAATAAATTAGGGAATGATGATGCAAAGCGTACCTCTTTCAATGTCCCTCAGGGCATATATGACAATCCTTTTACTTCCATCCACTTTGATGATCTTCGCAGTACAATTGGGTGTACAGCTGTGGTTGATAAATCTCGCAATGCCTCCTCGTTTTGTCGCGTCGATGACTGTGTTCTCGTCGATACGGAATAAATAACTGCTGCCGATGCCACTCTTCAAATATCGTCTCTCTCTCATGTCAGCAACTTGTTGGCGGACCTTCTCACCCACGTACTCGATGATCATATCATTAGCCGAAATGTTCTCTTCTGCATAAAGTCCCCAATTATGGATTGCAGATCGAGCGAAACGAACAGGTTTCTTTCGCTTTTTCAGCTGATTAAAACGAAGAACATCACCGTCACCGCTTTGAGTTGGGAGGGCTTGTTTTTGTGCGTTGATATCTGCGATGAGTCGGCGATTATTGACTCTTGTTGATCTGGATGTGGATTTAGACATCGTCTTGGCTGCGGCAATTCTCGCGGCTTCGACAGCAACACTGTGAGGGTCATTTTTCGCTTTTGCCTCTCGCTCTTCGCGGGCCCGTTGGACCTTGATGCGGTGCGGTAAATATTTGGACTTTTCCGACTCCAGAATCCTCTTCCTCCCCTCGGTTCTTGCAGCTCCCGTGATGTTTGAGACATAGTAGCCAAGGATACTGGTCGCTTCGCGCACAGGTCCTACTTCTCCAGGGCGATTCAGGGCTTTGATTTCTTTTTGTCTCCATGCCCAAGCAGTGAGACTTCCAACGTTTGATACTGGTAGTCCTTCCAGCACATCACGGAGGAAACGCAAGTCCTCCCCATCCTTGATCAGACTCTGCCACCCATCGAGATCTAGCACAATAGCTTCGTCATCCTCGACCGTTGGGCGGGGCTCGTCATTGGAAACCTTCCATCCTATTTCAGTCTTTGACACTTCTTTCAGGACTTCGTTGTCATTTAAAGCAATGGGAGTGAAGGCACAACCATGATCATCATCCTGAGTGACAGCCTCAACAGCCAGTCGAGACCGCAAAAGCTTCGCAGAATCGACTGCCCGCTTCGAGATTTCACTAATGTGCCCACTATGTGAATCTTTGTCACTAGCGAGAGGGGAATTCTTATCTGCAATATGCTTCTCAATGACCTCCAAGTCGATGGATGATTCCATGTGCAATCGTCCCTCACTGAGACCTGCGGCTTGATCGACTTCAAAGAGGTCATCATCTTCTTTCTTTCTCTTTCGCGCGATGACCTTGTCGTTTTCTCTTTTTCGCTTGCGAGATGCCGGAAAGAGTTTGTGCTGTTCAGGGTACGAAGCATCGTGCGAGGCATCAGTGACCGATTCAACCAAGATATCGACATTTTCTTTTCGAGGTGAACTGTACAGATGTTCGTCATTGCCGAATTTTTGCTCGGCAGATGCACCATAGGCCTCCGGAGCAGATTCATCAACATCCTCTGAATCCGAACACTCTGAGCTCAACCGGCTTGGGGCACGACTGTCCGGATCATCGGTGTCCCTTGTGAAAGGCGTCCTCTGCTCGTCATCTGAATCATCCACGTGGTGTAATTGTTGTAGACGGTGATACAGAGGTCGAACCTCTTTCCTCCGCAAAGGTTGTTTACGCCTCTCGTCCAAGAAAGCAGCGTCTGTGTGGTTGAGGCGGTGAGCTTTCCTTATACGTGGAAGCGCAAGGATACTCAGATTTGAGGGACCGAAAGGGTGGCGGGCTGTGGACAGGTCCGAACGTGAACCTGGTGTCCCAGCTGGGCTATTTATGCCAATCTGAAACAGAGGTCTCTTTGCCCCTGCCGGATCACGAATACCCAGTTGTCTTCTTTTTGCTGCATGTCGATCTGGGTCGAGGTAGTCATACAAAGTTGGTGCAGCAATCCGAGATTTCACGTCTTCGAGCAATTTGTCTTTCAGGTCCCGAATTATGATGGCTACCACTTCCTTGCAGGGATCCAAATCGTTTGCTCTTTGGTTTTTCTCTTCCTCGATGTCCAGTTCAGCCTCTCTCTTGATTCTGTCCAACCTGGCTCGTTCTCGCTGCTCCGCCTGCAATCGTTGTGGACTGGGGCTGCGCTCATAGCCTGGGTTTCCATAAGGTTGACTCTCCATATTCATGATGTAGGTAAACAACGGTTTCATGTGGCACATCTTGTAGCAACGTTCTGTTTCTTCTTCGCCTCGCCTGGAATTCTCGAAAATGATGTAATACCCTGTCTTATCACATCGAATATCTTTCCAATCGAATACTTTCAACCTTTTTTTCAGGTGAGGAACCGTTGTACTAAGGACCGGAACATAGCAATGCGCAATGAAGATATATGGGTCTCGCTTGATCTGACTCAAAATGGGAATTTCCTCGACCAAGGACGGCACAACTGACTTGAAGAAGCTAGCCCTTGGTCCTTCAGGGATCACGGCCATCACCCGTGTCAAGGACCTTCCCGATGGGCCTTTTGGCGCTGTCGGTGGGGGCTCATTGTGATTGACGGAGGGGCCAGCCTTTGTATCTTCTGCAACAGAAAGACAGTTCTTGTATCCCATCCTCTGGGAGTCAATCGCTCTTGACACTATCTTCTCCGAGACAACCCCGTCCCGGTCCAATTCGACTCGAATTCTCCGGGTTCCGATACGCTGTTCCTTCTTGCACTCGCAGTACGCTCGTCTTGCGGCATTCATTGCGAGTAGTGGGCCGCCTCCGCGGAATGAGACACTATCTTTATACTTGACGGAGCAAATCCCGAGAAACCTGCCGGTGATTGGATCAGTACGGTTATTAATCTCTGCGATGTCTCCGAAGCTGGAGAATAGAGCATTAATTGGGGCGATTGGGGTCAAAGGGTCAAACCCAGTGACCACTATCTGGACCGGGGGCCCAGGCCCGATTGTTGTAGAAGCATCGTACACCCATTGTCGCAAAGTGTATGGGGCTGGACGGAATTTTGTTTTCTGCTTGCAGCCGGCACCACGTGCATAATTTACTATAACCAATCGAGGATCCGGCGGTCTATCATCCTGTCCATGGGACATAATCTCCACATAGCGCGCTTTTTTGCGTTTGTCTTTTGATGTCCGCTTTTCGTTCTCGGGGTCTAAGGCTATTTTCCAGCCTCTCAAGGTTCCGGTCGGGCGCCCCTGTGACTCCGGTGTCGGCGGAGTTTGTAGCAAGGCGATGGCTGGCTTTTGTTCAACGGTCCTAGGATTTCTAGAAAGAACACCAGCTGTTGTCGTTTCTCTGACTCGACTAGTGCTGGCCTTCTGGGTGGGTGAGGGCTCTGCATTTGTAAGCGGCGTAAGCGTATCCAGGCGTCCTTCGCTGCCACTTGTTGCGCCGGGAGGTACTGCGGAAGCGTGAGGCGTGGTAAGACTCTTGCTTGTCGCACTTGAGGATCCATCTGCGGCCGTGTCGGAAAATGCAGGTTTCGTTTCTCTAGGTAGATCATTCCCTGAACCTGCGCTTGCCGTGCTCAGACCCGAATCAGAGACATTCTGAGCCTCTGTCGAACAAGCGAGTCTTTCGTGGTCGGTATCTTCATTTGAATGAACCTTGTTGTGGGTCTTGTCCTTGGTGACTTTGCGTTTCTGCTGTAGAACTGACGGAGCGGTGGGAAAGAAGTCTGCAAACCCTGCTGAAGTGCGCGACATGATGAGAAATGGCTACCAGCCAGAATCAATATAAATGTGAGTACCAAGCCGCATCCTTGATATTGGTCCCGTGTCTAATGGGCATGTATTGCCAGGAAACTCTCCTGGAATCAAAGGCGGTAACGAGAGGAGTTAAATTCGCAAACCTTGGGAAGAGCGGACAGGCTATGTATGATGAGATGGAAAATGACTTGGGCGCTGGAGGTGAGAGATGGCCCAAACAATTCCGTATGGAATGCAATAATGGTCGAGAGAGAGAAAAAAAGCGGGTGGGCACGCTGAATGGCCTGAAAGAAGGTAGGTAGGATATTTTACTCGGTCACAGATAAAATGATGTACTGTACCCATACCGACGCGACGACCTTGGCAACGCGCCGGGTAAGATTGACCACAGAAGCGGCGGGGTGTAAGTAAGTTACTCCGTTTGTTATGGAGAAAGGTACGCAAGTACAGTAACTACAAGTTACATAGGAATAAGTAACTTCCATAGTATCAATCGCCGCAATTTCTCTCCCTTTATCGCCTCGCTTCATGATCATCCTGTCATAAGATCGGCGCGCGACTCTTCCCAATATCCTTTTTCTATGACAATCCATCTGCCATGTATGAGTATCAATATTTCCAACAAGCGGTCGCACACATCGTCTGCATTTATAAGGTACTTCATAGTGCAAGAGCTTATACCTACCGCGGGCTTCGATAAATGGCAGGGCACGCTGCACTCGAGCGGAGATTTCCTCCTCCTCGATAGGTAGGGGAGAATTACCTGCTGAAAATCGTAAGAATTATGCACGAGTGTTGTTTAGAATATTTTTTTTTCGTCTATTATTCTTGGAGATTAAATCATATACAGTCAATATTCTGAGAC